AGTACAAAATCACCTAATCATTTAGCCAGACTAGTTGAGGTATAGGAAAGTTTACAGCAGTGCTCCACCCAAAAGGGGAAGTTCCACTTTAAGTCTTTGTCCCCTGCTCCCCATTAAGAATTGGCACCTTTGGGGAGTGGGTACCCGAATTTGACAGGTAACCGCTCCCACTTCTGCTGCAATCGTCTAGGTGATCGGAAGGTTGTCCTCCCCCCCCCCTCCCTCCCTCCCCGTAGTCTTCTGGGACACGTGACAGGTCTCAGAAGACTATGGGGCTATTCACAAAGCGCAGCGCTTCTCACACAAGCTGTCACAGCCGGGTGCCCACACTGAAGATCCCGGCGCCAAGGAGAGAAGATGGCTGGTGAAACCAGCTGTGGTGAGGAAACCGCTGGACTGAGGCACAGGTAAGTGGCTGTATTTCAAAAGTCAGCAGCTACAGTTTTTGTAGCTGCTGACTTTTATTTATTTTTTTTTAGGTGGATCTCCACTTTAAGCTACTTTAATTTAATACAACACTATTATTAATATCAAATTATGCCTGGTAATGCGAACATAAATATTAGTCCTTGTTTAACTACAATATTCTGTTAATAAGAATTATTCTATAAACAAGTCACTATATTTTTGCATGCTGAAAACCAGATTCTCTCCTATATTTTCTTGTGTCAAATTAATAATTTATGGTGGAATCCGTAAGTTAATCAGTATTCTTATATGCAATATATATATATACAGTGGGGCAAAAAAGTATTTAGTCAGCCACCAATTGTGCAAGTTCTCCCACTTAAAAAGATGAGAGGCCTGTAATTTGGCATCATACGTAGACCTCAACTATGAGAGACAAAATGAGAAAAAAATCCAGACAATCACATTGGCTGATTTGGAAAGAATTTATTTGCAAATTATGGTGGAAAATAAGTATTTGGTCACCTATAAACAAGCAAGATTTCTGGCTCTCACAGACCTGTACCTTCTTCTTTAAGAGGCTCCTCTGTCCTGCACTCATTACCTGTATCAATGGCACCTGTTTGAACTTGTTATCAGTATAAAAGACACCTGTCCACAACCTCAAACAGTCACACTCCAAATTCCACTATGGTGAAGACCAAAGAGCTGTCAAAGGACACCAGAAACAAAATTGTAGACCTGCACCAGGCTGGGAAGACTGAATCTGCAATAGGCAAGCAGCTTGGTGTGAACAAATCAACTGTGGGAGCAATAATTAGAAAATGGAAGACATACAAGACCACTAATAATCTCCCTCGATCTGGGGCTCCACGCAAGATCTCACCCCGTGGGGTCAAAATGATCACAAGAACGGTGAGCAAAAATCCCAGGACCACACAGGGGGACCTAGTGAATGACCTGCAGAGAGCTGGGACCAACATAACAAAGGTTACCATCAGCAACACACAATGCCGCCAGGGACTCAGATCCTGCAGTGCCGGACATGTCCCCCAGCTTAAGCCACTACATATCCGGGCCCGTCTGAAGTTTGCTAGAGAGCATTTGGATGATTCAGAAGAGGATTGGGAGAATGTCATATGGTCAGATGAAACCAAAATAGAACTGTTTGGTAGAAACACAACTCGTCGTGTTTGGAGGAGAGAGAATGCTGAGTTGCATCCAAAGAACACCATACCTACTGTGAAGCATGGGGGTGGCAACATCATGCTTTGGGGCTGGTTCTGCACAAAGGGACCAGGACAACTGATCCATGTACAGGACAGAATGAATGGGGCCATGTATCGTGAGATTTTGAGTGCAAACCTCCATCCATCAGCAAGGGCATTGAAGATGAAACGTGGCTGGGTCTTCCAACATGACAATGATCCCAAACATACCACCCGGGCAATGAAGGAGTGGCTTCGTTAGAAGCATTTCAAGGTCCTGGAGTGGCCTAGATCTCAACCCCATAGAAAACCTTTGGAGGGAGTTGAAAGTCCATGTTGCCCAGCGACAGCCCCAAAACATCACTGCTCTAGAGGAGATCTGCATGGAGGAATGGGCCAACATACCAGCAACAGTGTGTGCCAACCTTGTGAAGACTTACAGGAAATGTTTGACCTCTGTCATTGCCAACAAAGGATATATAACAAAGTATTGAGATGAACTTTTGATATTGACCAAATACTTATTTTCCACCATAATTTGCAAATACACACTCTTTCCAAATCAGCCAGTGTGAAGGTCTGGATTTTTTTTTCTCATTTTGTCTCTCATAGTTGAGGTCTAACTATGATGTCAATTACAGGCCTCTCTCATATTTTTAAGTGGGAGAACTTGCACAATTGGTGGCTGACTAAATACTTTTTTGCCCCACTGTATATATATATATATATATATATATATATATATATATATATATATATATATATATATATGCATGTCTATGTGAAGCTAAAGAATAATCATTTCCTGCATGACTTTATGAAATTCATATTCATAGGAACTGAAGAAGCTAATACCAATGAACAGAGCCACTAGCACCAAGCGTGAATGCATTGTTCCTCAACCCATACTACAGATTACATATGGCACAAAGTTTGTGTAGATTCACAGGGTTCATAAGCTGTTTAGCTTTGTACAGCCCACAAAGGTGAATGACTCCAAACAAGTGCATCAGATTGTACAATTAACATGGCAAAAATAATGCATGATTGTGTCTTGTCATTTTGCTGTGGTAACTAGTTGTCATGTACTGTATATTACAGTGTTTCCATTTATTTTCCCATTGTCAACATATTTTTTTAGTTGGTCTGGAAATATAATGGTATTTGAATGTCAGTCACAACCACGCACACAGAAAAGTCTATTGCAATTGTGTAGTTAATGACACATTTTATTTACTTACTGACATATTTTACAGTGAATTCTTTTGAAATTTGGGCAAAAGAGGGAAGGTGAGGTTCAGTATCGGGCAGGTAGAGCAAAAGACAGAGGCACCATTATGAAAGTCCAGCTTGGGACCTATGACCTCATGAACACCCAGCTTCATGTGCTACATCTGGGACACACAAACTCAGCTGGGCACAGAGGGTTCACAATTAACATACAAGGTTCCTAGGCAAAGGGGTGGATGGTGAAAATCAGAGGGAATTCAGTAAGACCTGCAGCACCTCTCCATGCACATCATACAAGGTCTTGCAGAATACACAATCCTATACAGCCACTAGAGCTTACAGCTTCAAACAAATGGACGTAAAGGAAAATATTACCTACATATTACATCTTCAGCACTTCTTGCACTCTTTTTATAGGGTGGAACTGAGTTCAAACGACTATAGCTGTAATGTAGTTTTTACTTACTGGAGCATTAAAACCTCTTCAGGAGACTGCTAACACAAGATTCTAATGGGCCAATAATTCAATTACCATTATTTGTTGATGGGAAAGGAAATAATTTTGCCATGATCCAGTTCCAGTGATTACTAAGCATTCTTACATGCCAATAAATACAAGAAACAATGGCAGGTTTAATATTCTGCACCTTTAGTTGTGGCATTTGTAATGATAAATAAAGTGTACACAGTTATACGCTTACACAGGGTCTTTTTTTGACTATATGGCACCCTGTCTACAATTTTCATATAGTGCCTACTCCCACTAAAAAAATCTTGCTCACTTTCTTTGTATCCACTGAAATTGTGAAAAGGTGGACTAGTGTACAGAACACCTGGCCTTCATATTCTCATTACATTTTACATCTGTTACTAGGAATTGAGTTGCCCGTGCCTGTGGTACACTTGTTTCCTATCTTTTCATGATCTCCTTATATTCTCTGTTCAGGTTTAGTAGCTGAAGAAGACCATGAGTGTTGAGTTGGCTTTTTTAAAGCTGAGCGGATTTAAGTGAAAAAACAGGTACCCTTTACGATCATAACAATTTACTTGAAATACACCTTCAGAGGTGACCTACTATATATATATATATATATATATATATATATATATATATATATATATATATAATTTTAAACAAATGCTCAAAAGAAGTGAAAATCCATTGTTTGATGGGCCCTTGCTCTTACGCATCATATAATGCTTCTTATAGCTGGGCTAAATAAGGTCCAAACCTCAACACTTTTTCTGTTGCTGTCTTAGAATTAAAATGACCATAAAATTCCATGGCAGTATACCTCTTAATTACTTGTAGTTTTTTTGTACAAGTATGAGTCATCTTCACATAATTATCTAGTCCTGCTCGGCTTCCCATATCCAGAGGGAAAATATTCCAGACAGATTTTCATTTCAGTAATTCTGTGTTATCCACATCACAATCAATTCATGTATGTTTTTTTTAATCTCTCTTGAAAATCAGGCTTGAGCAATAATAAGGCTTAGCATTGGGAGAAGAGCAAATTGGAGGCATTTGGAAGTGTAGGCTGAACGTCTTCTTTGTAAAAATTGGCAGTAGCTTTCTTAATATATAGAGAGAGCTGCAGATTCTTCATAGATGAATATGGTAAATGGCAACAAGAGAAAATGTTGAACTGTTTCTGCAATCACAGCATGTATAGGGCTGAGAAGAAAACAAGCACCCCTCTCATACACCTGGGAGTGACATGGAAAAAAGCCTCCTTCACAGTTTGAAAAGCTTTAAGTTGGAAACTCAGTGTGGCCTGAGTCATTCAAATTATTGGGTTATATATTGTACAGTCCTTCCAGGTTTAAGAGGATGCAATGTTTATGGCAGATTGGATACCACATTCTGAGTCTTGAAATTGTGAAGGGGGCTCCCTCAAAGGCTGCAGCAACAGAGGGAACCCATTATGGAACTGAGAAAAAGGCTAAGGGGTAGCAGTTCCCCATGGTGACATGGGAGCTCCCATCTTAGGCTTTAAGGGGTATGTGAAGTAGAGGAGGAAAGGCACAACCCTCCCCTACTTTCTCCTGCTTACATACGCTACAACACTTGCACCTTTGTTTCTTCATGCTTAGGTCCTGCTCTCCACTCGTGGGCGCTGCTGTGTCATTGGTCTCTGGCTTCTCACTCTTGTTGGGAGTATCTACAGGAGCACCATTGGGTGGATGCTGAGCCTTTTCTTGTAGGTCTCCATCAACAGCTGGTTGGGCATCCCCATCACCAATGATGACTAGTTCCGCAGTGATAGCCTCTTCCACACCCAGAACTTTCTTTGTTTCATTCTCATCCTCCACATTCTGATAGCCCATGAAAATCATGGTTACTGGTTGTTCTGGGCCTGGTGATGTCTGAGGAGGCCGAGCCTGCACACCAGGGATCTCCTTGCGGGGAGATGCTTTTTTGATCTGGGTCTTCTCATCTGCGGTTAAGGAAATCTCACTGAGTGTTGCTTCCTCTGCCTTTGTGATCAGCTCTTCCACCTCTGTGGAACTCAGCGGGTGAACCGTATCATTGGGAACTGCCACCTCGGATCTTACTGCATGCACAACTGAAGGGAGATAAAAGATTGTAAGAAAAATGCAAGAAAAAAAGGAAACAAACGAAATTAAAGCAGTTGTAAAGTTAAAGTGTTAAACACTTTTTTAAAACAATACATTTAACCATATTTTACTATGTTCCCTTTTTAATATGTCATGTTCTCCCTGTAAAATGCAGGTCACGTGATCACTATGTTCTCGGGCAATTTATAGACCTGCTGGTGTGCATGTATGCTTTGGGGCAGTTACATCACATGAGAAAAAGACATTGGCTGCTGGGTGCCCCATGTTTCCAAGGCAATGAAAGGCAAACATACCCAGCAGCTACACAGGAGGGGAGAAACAGCTGAAGGGGAATCCACATAACTCAAGCCAGGATAGATGGGCAAGGGAGGGAGCGGCATAGCTTCCTACTGATCATGGAAGGTACAGCCACGCTGTGCTGTTGCACTGTATTCCTGTACAAATAGCGAGATTACACAAGACGTAAACTGACCACTGCTAGCATGGACTGGCACCCATACTAGCATGGTCAATTTACTCTCAGGAGTAGGGACACAGACAGGATCAATCAGGTATTTTTCAACACAGGCAACACCAAATTAAATAGGAACATTACAAAGCATATTATGTTGCTTTTTTTCTTCTTCTTTTTTTTAGGTTTACAAACACTTTAAATGGTATACATGCATATGTTTTAAAATAGTATAAAAATACATTCAGTAAATGAAGTAAACTTGAACATATTAAAAAAAATGTGAAAAAACAGCCTGTAAATTACATAAATACACCCACCACTGGAATCTTCAGCATCCAACATTTTTGGGTGTGTCTCCTTGTCCCAAAAGCCATGTCATTAGTGTATCCCTGCACCTCTAAAGAGGCCCACTAGTGACATAGCAACCAGCAGGTGAAGCATCAATGCTATTTAAACTTTCGCATAAAATAAGCCCAGCGGTATATGTATGAATGCAGGCATGTGTGTAAACAGCCTATCATAATGCTTAAAAAATATAATCATTGTTCATCTTGAGCCTGCTGAGCTTGAAATTGCGCTGACAGAAGACAACCAATCTAAGTTGATTTCTAGGTACAGTATTATTCTTTATTGTTATCCTCTACACCTCACATGGCTAAACTTAAGACTCAATGGCAAGCGGATATTCCTACATTACAAAACATCTCTTGGGGGGAAGTGTTGGGAGTCAATTATCTGGGGTTATTGCAGCTGTGGATAAACTCATTTAACTAAAATATCTACATAGGATATATTATACTCCACTTAGATTGTATAAGATTCGGCAGGATAAACTCTCGGGAGTGTTACAGATGTCATGCGGCTACGGGTGACTTTTTCCATATGATATTGGCTTGTCCCAGTATGGCCCAATTCTGATTTTCTATAACTGCTTTTATGGAACAAAAAAGCCATACCTAATATTTGTATCCCAAATAGATGTCTTCCTAGGAGACCTTGAAGAGGAGGCGGCCCAAAAATCGCAATTGAGATTTATTTTCTTTTATGCTAAAAATTCATTGCTTTACAATGGAAAAAAAACAGACCCTCCTAGTTTGCACAGGGGTATTAATTTAGTAATGATGGCCTTACCTATGTATGAATTGTCCTATACTGCTAGAGGTTGCCCACGAAAAATCTGTCCGGGGATGTTGAGGTTTAAATTTGCTGCTTGTATTGCTATGTTGTACTTTTTGGTTGTCACCTCTCAGGGTTTATATGTGTCGGACTCAGACTCTTTATTTTGCCATCAAGGATTATGATCTCTTTTGTTTTGTACATGCACCAGCTGTAAAGTATGTGTTAAAGTTGTACTTCTGATGGGATTTCTACAGATGTACATGATGTATATTAAGTAGTGTTTTGATATACTGCATTGTATCAATCACACATCAGTGGATACCCTGTTCCATGTTTTCTTATTGTATGTTACTTTAAATTAATAAAATGACCTTTATATAAAACAATAAATAAATAAATATATATATATACATATGTATATATATATATATATATATACATATGTATATATATATATATATATATATATATATATATATATATATAGTTAGTGAAGGAAATAAGTATTTGATCCCCTGCTGATGTTGAATGTTTGCCCACTCACAAAGAAATGATCAGTCTAAAAACTGAACGGTAGGTGTATTGTAACACTGAGAGACAGAATAGCAACAAAAAATTCAAAAGAAATGCATGTCTAACAAATTCTGCACTGATTTGCATGTTCATGAGGGAAATAAGTATTTGATCCCCTATCATTCAGCAGGATTTCTGACTACCAGGTGTCTTTCATACAGGTAACAAGCTAAGATTAGAAGCAGTCTCTTAAAGGGAGTGCTGCTAATCTCATTTTGTTACCTGTATAAAAGACACCTGTCCACTGGAGCATTCAAACAATCAGATTCCAAACTCTCCACCATGGCAAAGACCAAAGAGCTGTCCAAGGATGTCAGGGACAAGATTGTAGACCTACACAAGGCTGGACTGAGCTACAAAACTATCGCCAAGCAGCTTGGTGAGAAGGTGACAATAGTTGGTGCAATCATTCGCAAATGGAAGAAACACAAAACAACTGTCAGTCCCCTTAGGTTTGGTGCACCATGCAAGATCTCAGCCTGTGGAGTGTCAATGATCATGAGAACAGTGAGGAATCATCCCAGAACTACACATGAGGATCTTGTCAATGATCTCCAGGCAGCTGGGACCACAGTCACCAAGAAAACAATTGGTAAACACACTACACCAACAAGGATTGAAATCCTGCAGTACCAGCAAAGTCCCTTTGCTCAAGAAAGCACATGTCCAGGCCCCTCTGAAGTTTGCCACTGAACATCTGAATGATGCAGAGGAGGACTGGTTGAAAGTGTTGTGGTCAGATGAGACCAAAATCTAGCTCTTTGGCATCAACTTAACTCGTCGTATTTGGAGGAGGAGGAATGCTGCCTATGACCCCAAGAACACCATCCCAACTGTCAAACATGGTGGTGCTTTGGGGGTGTTTCTGCTAAGGGGACAGGACAACTGCACCGCATCAAAAGGACGATGAACGGGGCAATGTACCGTCAAATCTTGGGTCAGAACCTTCTTCCCTCAGCCAGGGCATTGAAAATGGGTCATGGATGGGTGTTCCAGCATGACAATGACCCAAAACACACGGCCAAGGCAACAATGGAGTGGCTCAAGAAGAAGCACATTAAAGCGGAGTTCCACTCACGCTCTCAAAAAATAAAAGTCAGCAGCTACAAAAATTGTAGCTGCTGACTTTTAAAAAACACATACTCACCTGTCCCTCGGTCCCGCGGTGTGTGTCCCCTGCAGCCCGTTATACCGGCTGTCTTCTCTCCCTGGGCGCTGGCATCTTCAGTGTGGGCACCCGGCTGAGACAGCTTGCGGCTTCACAGCCGGGTACCCACTGCGCATGCACGAGTAATGCTGCGCTTCCTGAATGGTCCTGTAGTCTTGTGGGACCTGCCACGTGTCCCAAAAGACTACAGGGAGGGAGGACACCTTCCACTTCCGATCGCCTTGGCGATCGGAGCGAAGTAGGAGCGGGTACCTGTCAAATTCGGGTACTCGCCCCCCAAAGGTGCCAATCCTTAATGAGGAGTGGGGGACCAGTCTTTAAAATGGAACTTCCCCTTTTGGGTGGAGCTCCGCTTTAGGGTCCTGGAGTGGCCTAGCCAGTCTCCAGACCTTAATCCGATTGAAAATCTGTGGAGGGAGCTGAAAGTTCGAGTTGCCAAACGTCAGCCACCAAACCTTAATGACTTGGAGAGGATCTACCAAGAGGAGTGGGCCAAAATCCCTCCTGAGATATGTGCAAACCTGGTGGCCAACTACAGGAAACGTCTGACCTCTGTGATTGCCAACAAGGGATTTGCCACTATGTACTAATTCATGTTTTGTTAAGGGGATCAAATACTTATTTTCCTCATGAACATGCAAATCAGTGCATAATTTGTTAGGCATGCATTTCTTTTGAATTTTGTGTTGCTATTTTGTCTCTCAGTGTTACAATACACCTACCATTCAATTTGTAGACAGATCATTTCTTTGTGAGTTCAACATTCAAAATCATCAGGGGATCAAATACTTATCTCCTTCACTGTGTGTATATATATATATATATATATATACATATAATATATATATATATATATACACACACACACATATACATATATATATATATATATATATATATATAATCATTAGACACTGTGGAAATGTGTACAGAAAGGCAGCCTATAACAGTACTATGTATACCTGGAAAGTATATTATTATGTATAAAATTCACAAGATCATGGAAAAGCAGTCATGGAATTAAATAAAAGGCAAAAAAAAACTTCATAATGGCTTCTCCATCCACTTTAAATCTTGGATCCACAATTGCTCTGGCATCATGATGCAGACTGGTACAGGCTTCCAGAAGGAGAAAATAATGTCTTTAATCAACAATATGTTATATATTTGCACCCAGAATTACATCTGTGTCTGAGGAGAGTAAACACCATCTTCCTAAAGAACCCTACCTTTCTGTTCATCTTCATACACCTTGACCCCCTGCAGCAGGTGCTGTTTGGGGAGCACAGTGTTGCTAGAGAGGACCTTAGTCTCCCCTGTGATTCTGTCCTTCTCTACTGTTATCTCCACAGAGTACATGGCTGGGACACAAACAGGACAGCAACATTAAATTTTACAGCACCCCAAAACCCTCCCAAAGCCCTGACGAGGGGCAACAAGCAGGTAAACACAGTAGGGAAACCGGGCTCAGAATGAAAGTAGCAAAGCAGAAAGGTAGCAGACAATGTGGCCATTTCCTTGGATTGCTATATCCCCAGCACAGGATCCTGATCATGCTGTGAGGACAACAGGGCTAGCAACAGCAAGCTGTGATTAGCACAGTCGGTGCCACTACTTGATATAACTGCATTCATATTGTCATTACTGCATGTTAACATGATGTGACATTATGCCACTGCTTCCAGATTGGTTATATATAATTTGAAGGAAAAATTGAAAAAAAGCATACAGAGCTGTGTAAAATAAAATATAATTTTCACTTAAGTTTATTAAATGACTTCCACAAATTCTATATTTTGTTACTTTGTTCGATTTTGTCACAGACAGCCAACTGAAACTGAAGCAGGGACAAAATGTTAACATTTTAGTGCATATTATGTAATGAATTGGTAAGAATGTTCAGAAGCACTATTTACTTATCCAGTAAAAAATTATAGCAAGTATACCAAAAATGGTCAAATGCAAAGAGTACCTGTCATTTGCCCATAATAGCACAATAACAATATTCAATAGCCATCTTTCTGGCAGCCAGAACATTCATAATATTGTCAAAATTTTACATACTGAGTAGAATGGGGAATGGCAGTTGGGTATATGTCTGTCCTCTTTTGCACTGCTGGTACCTACGGCTATCTTCTCACCGATTCAACCAAAGCTAAATGCTTCATTCCCTTTTCCCCATAGGAAAGAAACAATCTGTGCCGGCTCACAAACAGATTTTCCAACAACTTTCTTTCTTTGTAATAACAGCATGATTTTCATATTGATACTGGAAAGTGTTGCCTTGCTTACAAAGGTCAGGTACCTATGCATGAGTGCCCTAAAAGTACCCATAGACATGAAAATACTTGCCAAATCCAGTAAAAAAAGTATTTCTCTTAGTGGGATCAGGTGCCCCTGACCATTCATTCTTGGGGGAACAGGCAACCAGATGGCCTGGCTTATAAAAACCAAACAGTGTTGTTTATCCCAGGATAAGATCAAAGCTGACTCTACCAAGTTTAACAGTTTTAGGTCTGGGGTAATAAAAATCTTCACGACCAGACCAATTTTTGTTTCATTATATTTTACTATTTTAGTTACATATTTTTTGAACTTCTTCTATTTACTACTATTTCAAGGGTTATATTGAACCCCTGGTGTCCTCACTGCCATTAGTTCTAGCAAACAGAAAGTCCCAGTCAGGATTTGACAGCTCTGAACCTGGAAGTACTTAATTATGAACACTTCCAGGTTCAGTCTCCTGAATCCAGAATGAAGAGCATGAGCAGATCTCCTGCGCCACTTGTCATCCTTGAAAAAAAGCTCAGCCATTCTGAATCTCCCTACACCAGTCCCAGGCTCACAAAAAGCCAGGTGAGCTTCAAGATGGAACCACAGGTGACCTCAAAAAGCTGCTGGCATCATGTAGAAAAGATCTGGTGGCTGCACAGTTATGGTGGTGGCACTAAAAGGGCTAACCATTCCCAGAACGTGATACATAACCACGTAGATCAATTACCACCATTGTCCCCAGAGGGTGCTGCACTTGTGAACATTGGACTATAAGTGTCCTTCTGGCAAGAGGGAACATTTTCTCTTACACTTACCTGCCTACTCGCAGTCTTCTATTGAATGAACACTGAGCTGCACATGTGCACTTTGACTGTGCTAGGATGACTGACTCCTGCGTGCATGAGCATGATGATGTCATTCTACCAATGGCTGATCGAGAAACCAAAAACCTGGTACCTAGAAGTAGCTGGGGAGAAGATGACAGTGGCTGGCGAAAGGTGTAAAACTGGAAGGTGGAGGTGAGCATTTCTGGGGTTTTATTTCCACTATAATTACGGTTCACACTTATACGGTACGGGATTTGCAACAAATTCTATGTGTTTCCCGCACCACTTCAGAATCGCACTCCGTTCATGTTAACCGCTGCGGGTGTCTATGTTAAATTTACAACACCACCAAAAAAGGTTTACAGAATTGGGGGAATTGGATTGCATGGGTGTGAACACCCATGCAGTCCAATTCCAGTGCGAAAAAAAGGTGTATGCACTTTTCTTGGAGGTGCGATGCAATTTGTAGTGTGATTTGAGCCATACAAAATGAATTACTCAAACCGCACGCATGTGATTTGAAGAGGATTGTGGTGAGATTCACAAGCGGTTTCCCACACCACAATAGTGTGAATCGGTCCTTAAAGTGACTGTGCAGGGCAGGCTACTAAGTCTAAACTCCAGCAAGGACTGCATACAGGCAATTGGACACCCAGGCTCACTGCTGCATTGTGGGGAGGCAGGGGGAATTTTATGTGCATGTGCTCCCCATACCCAGACGTTTTTCTTAGGAAGGCCAGCAAAGGATATAGGTAGTGCAGGAGTTAGCAGAAGGTAAGTAGATACTACTTTTCATCCACAGAGTACTTGTTTACTTTAAAAATTTACAGTACGCTGCTGTTTATCTGAACAGCAATGACTGTGTATGGAAGAACTAAAACAGAAAGTTAATATGTGCACTGACCTCATCTATCTATGTACGCTAATATTAAAAATACCACCTAAAGTAACCAATCTTTTGCTCCAAATGCATCAACAACAGAAACATGGCATGACAGGTACACTTTAATACTATGTTAGTTAGCAATGAAGAGCCATGGTATATTTTAGTATGTGTGAATATTGCTTTAATTTTGCGGCAGTGCAGTATTGCCATGTGCCATTACTATTTTTTATGCAAAGGCAGTCTTATGATAGAAGGCATGAACCACAAAGTGCAGTAACCAATAGAAAACAATCAGAATTCTTTCACTGACCAGTTTGCGGTACATTCACTTCTGATTGCGTGCTATATATTACTGCAGATCATCATTGCTTACACCACCAACTAAAGTGCTAACCATCTTCACTAGGTCGGTATTAGCAACTAAAGCTCAGCCATGCCTTTTTCCTGGGTGCTGTGGAAGCCAAAGGGTGCCCAGCATAGAAGAGAAGATGCCAAAATATAGGCTGTGAACCCTGTTACTCACCTGCTCTCATCATATCTGGACTATCTGTCTTCTTTGCCGGGGACTGTATAGCATTCTGATCTGAAAACATAGAAAATTGATACTGCTTAAGCTGAACAACTGGCAAAGTATTACATTAATTTAGGCAATTATTTGCGTGTGAGCCTAAATGATATGCCATATGTAAGAAAAGCAAACTGAACTTACCCCTGGCAACATTCACTATGGTCTGAAATAAAAAAGAGAATGAATACTTTATTTTTGTATGTTTATCAGAAAAGGAAGTTAACATTAGGTTAACATATCAGAAAAAATTAAACCATCAAAATAATTTTGGCATATTCTACAGGAAAATAATGAAATACAGGAAAAGTGACTGTCTTTGATAAAGGAAGAACTCCTGGATCAAATTCTAATTCCATATATCAAAATAGGGATAGTCCTACCTCTGTCACAACCCTTTAAACAGCTGCAGCCTGGTTGAGTTCTTTAGAATCTAACTGCAATAGTGTGATTCACTGGTTAGTACCTGGAATTGATCCATGAATCTGTGTTTTAAGTAAGATGTCACCTTATTGAGGTATTTCAGAAAAAAACAGCATTATGGCCACTAAGTGGAGCTCACAGTTGTGGGAAATGATGGTAAGAAGTGGCAGTAATAAGAGCTACCTGAATCTGTTGCCACCTGTTGGAATTGGAAAAGCACCTTAGTGCCAGAAAAGTGTTGTAAGTACTTTACTGAGTATCTGGCTGCAAACTTCAATCTCATTTCGGCACCCTGATCAGATGTTGGTCAGATGATGGTTTTCTAGCATGACCATTTGACACAAGCAAGTCATGAGAGCAGCTCCTGTAAAACAGACAGCTGTACACACGGATCAAAAATCAGCTGGTTCCTGCCAAACTGACCGATTTCGACCAATTTTTTGGCCCATGTGTACAAGGCTTAAGTGAAAATAATTTATTGTATGTGTAAAAGGGTAGCAAAAACATTTGTAATGATAGCAGTAAGCAGGAAAAGACTGTGAGTCCTGTTGTGTTTTCGAGATGCCTTTGGCGCAAATTTGATGTGCACTTGATATACGTCAAATAAACAACATAGTGCACCTATTCTGAAAAAGATCTGTAACGTGTGGTAAAAAATATCACAAAATATCATTTTGTCACAGGAATGTTGTAGTTTTTTCTCCCTGTAAGTCAATATGTGCTCTACAATGTGGCGCCAATATTAGCCTCAGATCTCCATCCGGTCTGACTGTGTCTACACAGACACTTACCAAAGGGAGACTGAGCCAGGAGAAGCTGCCTCCTCCCTCCCTCCTCTTAGCTAAGGCCAGGGGAAAAGGTAGCTGGCAGGTTCCTTCTGATGAGTTTTTGGCCAGGCACTCATCAGAGGAAGCAGGCAGAGGGCAGATCTGTGCTTCTCTGCTGCCTGCACTTCTCTCTGCTCCTGGTGATCAATTCCTGAATGAAGGAGAGAGGAGAAGCGATAGTAAGCTGCAACAACTTGCTGTATTAGTATGTACACAGACATAGAATGCTGGGTTTGCACGATCACTGTGCAATATGTGCCTAATAAACGGAGGTCCCTGAGGGACCCCACATACATGCACACAAATATTCCAGGAGTCTCCTGACCTGTCAATCAATCAATCAGTTCACAGTTAGTACGAGTGTCAGACTGGGAGTCTCAGACTCCCAGCTCCACCCACTACAGCGAATGGTGATGTAATTATGCCACTGCTACCCGTTCCTAAGAACTACAGGGGGTAATTGTATGCGAACAGTGTTCAGGGGAATAAGCATCAATAGCGCCCACCAGTCATAATAACAGAAGGCCACCAGTTTTGTATAGTGTTTTAAAAAGTCTTGCTAGGTTGCTGAGGACTCACTTATTAACAAAAGGACTTTAAAAAAGGTTGCTGGGCCAAGAAATTGCATTCCTATTGAAAAAAATAATACCGGAATCTAGCCAGTATATTGTGCAACAATCTGTACTACTAAGGGAGTAAGGGAGGAGAATTTTCAGTAAGCATTTTCTCCAAGATATGAATATAATACTGTTTTTAAGTAAGCCATCTGAAGAAACACCCACAACCCATGGCATACACAATACTCCTAACAAAATGCAAAATTTGTATTTAATTACAAAACATTAAAATAATGATCATAGTGTGTGGGTTTCTGCACAATGCCAACCTCAAGACTGATCATTTGTCAAGTATACCTATTATCGGGCAGTATTATAATTAAAGAGCAAAAGGAAGAATGTTTCTTCTCTTCCTGTCAGGCTGATGCCCACACACTACCGAGTTGTTCTTCTATCACTACTTTATTGTTAGCCCACCTACTACTAACAGGAGACATAGCACCACTCAACCAGCTATCCTATTTATTAACACTGCAAAGACTACTAGTTACTAAATGATTTTTACAGATCCACTGGCCAAGCCAGACAACAATGTCCTACAATGTCCTGGAGGTGGGGATTCCTTCATACCTCTCATTTGTGTGGATAGAGGTATCTTGTTTCTGTTCAGCCCCCTGGATGAATGAAATAAAAAATAACCACATATGGCCAGCCTTAGTGGCTGCTCATTGTTATTGGTCTGTAGCCTGGAGATGAAAGCTCAACTTTCATGCCGACCCTCTGTGGCGCCAAGCACAGAACAGGCAGTAACTCAAAACTACTATGCATGACAGTCTGTAGGGATGATCCAGGGCTGTCTGAACATGTCCTGAAGCATTAAGGCGAGCCATAGATGATTCAAAATTCTTTCCTCCTACCACGGGTAGAAGGAAAGAAAATTGCTCGATTTCTCCATCAACACAGTCAATGTTGATGGGGGAATCCCCATCAGAGCTATTGTGTTCTGTTGGCGGTACACAATAATTACTGCTAGCGGCGATAGCTATCGTATGTAAATGGTTGTATAGATGGATTGACTTGGGTACAACCAGCCTTCCCACAGACGGTCCCCGCTGAACCATCTATGGGTGGCTTAAAGTGGACCTTCAGCCTCTTCTGCATCTTCCCTCCACTCCACCCCTCTCTCCATACTTTTTCTTTTTTCTTGATAGAAATGTCTGGTTCTGCCTCCCTGTGCCCATCATGCGCCTTAGGCACATATCCCAGGAGGCATAGTCTTCCATAGAGGAAAGGGCAGGCAGAATGCTGGCCTATCAGTGCATCATTGGAAGCCCACCCGCTGAACCAGGAAGAGCTGGCAGGCTTCTCAATGACGTCAGAAGGAAGATGGTGGAGTGGGACAGATCTGTGGCCTGGCATGAGAGGATGTCAGTGGACAAGCTGGATCCGCTGGACGGGTGAGTACCTGAAATGTGAAAATCCCACCTAAAAGTAAGAAAAAAAGGGGGTGTAGTTCAGCCAGAGGTCTGCTTGAAATCACTTGTGCACCATTAAGGATAAGGTGGTTGTTGCATCCTGTCTGTGGGTGGTGTATGCTACACTTTGGGAATGACTGTTCAAAGAAATCATTCCCAGTTTAAGTATTCTTTTTCTACTGCATAACATTCCAAAATTTAAAGTAGTTGTGAATATACAATGTTAGACACTTTCTAATATAGTTATGACTATGCAGGCACCATAACTTTGCTTAGTTTCAGAAATTATCTTTCTTACCTTTTTTTACAAGGTTAAAAAGTTCTGCCATGTGACCATGCATCTCTTCTTCCTGATAGTAGGGGGTGGGGTTACAGGCCACTGTGCAGACACACAGGGGTTGATTTATTATAACTGGAGAGTGCAAAATTTGGTGTAGCTCTCTATAGAAACCAATCAGCTTCCAGATTTTGTGTCAAAGCTTATTTGAACAAGTCGTAGTTAGAAGCTGATTGATTAATATGCCCAGCTGTGTGTACCAGTTTTAGTAAATCTCCTCCATTTTGTCAGATGTAGAGTGATAATATATCAGTTAAAGTTTGATATTATTCCATGGTATGTTCAGTGTGGGGCAAGATGCAGGCTGTTGTGCTTGAGCAGGGGGTGTGTTCAAGAGCAGGCTATGATTGGGAGGGGATGTGTGTGCCAGAGGCAGGCTGTCACTGGCTGGGGGGGGGGGTGTGGTGGCTGAACAAACTACCCTAATACAGGCATGCTGTTTTTCTGCACAGTGTCCTGTACCTCTGAATGGCCAGTCAAAGGATTAAACTGACCACGCTAACACCAATCAGCCTCTTTGCTTTGTGTGGTCAGTTTAGAACAAGGAAAAATGGTGACTGGCAGGATCAACCAGGTATGGAAGACGTACATGAAAACAATAAGGACTATGATTTAAAAAAAAACACACACAAACAAAAAAAAATAATTAGGGAAACATACACTTTAACTTAAGATTTACCACCTCTAAACCCTGTCAGGTTTCCACGTCTCCTTTCTGTAGATGGTTCTGCCATTGGAGCTCAATGAATGAATTGGTTTTCCAGTACATATACAGGGGATTTCACACTCTAGAATTCTGTTGTGCCTCCACACCACAAATGTTGTTGTGGGCAACAGATTCACGTACCTGTTGTAAGCAAGTACATGAATCTGGGGTATGCATTTCTTGTGAAGGCACACTGACATTGGAGCATCCACTCCACCCTCACTGCAACAGCTGTGGCAGGTGCAGGGGCAGGGAGGTTTGTACCTGGGGGTGGAGGAGCCAGATGGGGATTCCACTAGTTCACCATCAGGTCTGCTCCCCTTGTGACTGACAGCAGGGAGGGGGTGGATCCATAGCTAATACATAGACTGCTATTGTCTACAGAATTGTGGGCGGCTTGCCAATTTCTGTGCAGTTTCATGCACAGAGGTCAATACGAATCGCACATGAAATCACCAAAAATAGCACAGGAACTGTTTTCAAAATCAAAATCGAGCCAATTCTGAATAGTTCCATAAGCACAACTAGGGTGCGACTTGTCATGCGATTTTGAACTGTCAAATTGCATGACAACTCGCATTGGTGTTAACAGTGCTAAAGCTGAATTCACACCAGATCTGTTGTGTTTATTATGCATTGACATGTGCTTAACCCCCCTGGCGGTATTTCCAAGTGTAGCTCGGGGTAAAGTTTCAGTACCAAAAGCGGTAACCCCGAGCTACACTCGGGCTTACCATGCGGCGCTGCTCAGGGATTCCCTGCAGCGCTTACCTTGTCCTGCGCTCCCGCGATGCGTCCCCTACAGCATCCCCGGCCATCTCCTCTGGCCGATGCCGGCATCCGGCTTCCGTGTTCCAGTCCCTGCGAGCGTCGGGACGTACGGGGGATGGAACCAGCGGCAAATTTAAAAAATTTTATTTTCTAATAAACTAAAATCACATAGTAAAACATTACTGTTATCAAACCATGTCACATACATTTTGTCCCTAATGCTTTGTCCTGTGCCCTGCCTGCATTTTGACTGTTCTTTCTGCCTGGTAACTTAGAAAAGTCCATGGCGTCCAAAAAGCATTCCTTTAAGTCAAAAGCGGTTTTAGACCAACTAGAGAACAGCGATAGTAAATTAGAACTACTTGCAGAATTGAGTGATAATGATTCGTGGGGAAATTCGTCATCAGACACTGAAAACGATTTTGCGACTTTGCTCAGTGATGTGCGAACTTGGCGCTATATTTCAAATTTCAGTGTTTTTGGTTTGATTATATTATTGAATTCAATTTATTATTATTATATTATTATTTTTTATGATTATTTATTAAATTATAATTTATGATTTTGTTTTTCAAGTTTTATCCTACCCGGGATGTTTACTAGACTCTTGTTCGGACAGATTTCAGTGAGTTATTCCTAAAAATTACAAGCCTACTATAAAAAAAACAACATATTTCCATGCAAAAAAATGTACCGCTTTCAGCACAGAAATATGGACATAATCATACTGCTACGGAGGTTAAAGCATTGTGCTACTGTGCATTTTTAATAAGTTGCATTGATGTTCATATCTTGTAATTGTTCACAGCAGGAACCAAAACACATTATTTTACTTTCCATAACATGCATTGAAGTGCACTATAGCTCTTTGCATTACATTTAAATGAAGCAAGGTCCATTTTGACCCCCTATGTTGTGTTGATGCAAACTGAGCCTACAGGAAATAGTAGACTTATTATTGCATTAGGTCTGCCCAAAGCAAGTGGTGTGACTGGGTCCTCACAGTCTAGCACAAGTTATTCACATAGCATAGCAAGAAGAAATATGATGCACAAAAATATGGACGTGACATTACAGGACAAGTACATTTATGTAGCTATGGTTCATATTAGTTACATTATAAATGGCTGAAAAGACAACAGTAATACAACTGACAATATTTACAGCTGAACATGTGAGTGTTATCTCCCAAGCCAGACATTATTACAACACAAGCTTGTGAAAAGTTAGATATCTGACCAGGGGTGTGCTGACCATTTGGAAACTCGGACACTGCCCGAGGGCCCGGGGTCAGTAGGTGGCCCCATGAGATGCCCCTGCTACCTTTTTCATAGGCTTTTTTGACTTTGGGCAAGGACACAGGGGCCGCATGATCCCCTATTGCCCGGGGGCCCCATGAGTTGTCAGTCCGCCCCTGTATCTGACCATGTCTCATTTCCAAGTTATAGAGAATCTTTGTATGATTTATACAAAGAAAAAATAGCATACAGCAGCACTATCAGCCATATCTCACATCCCAATCTGTGCACAACTGCAGAGACTATTTTGCAGGTAGAGGCTCACCTTTTGAATTTTGACAGTGTCTTGGTTCTCAGGCTCTGAATGTGCCATCTCTTCTGCTAGGCTCTCTTTGGTGGATGTGCTGGACAACCCACTTTCCAGAAACTCAATTTCTCCCTCCAACCTGAAGTAGACAAAGGGGTTTCATTATTAGGAAACCAACTATATATTTTTTAAATACAAAATATAGTGTTTTTTTGTGTATAGTTCTATTTTTTATTAATGTATTTTATTCAAGTCCTAAAAAAAGTACACTATATTGCCAAAAGTATTGGGACGCCTGCTTTTACACGCAAATGAACTTTAATGGCATCCCAGCCTTTGTCCGTAAGGTTCAATATTCAGTTGGCCCGCCCTTTGCAGCTATAACAGCTTCAACTCTTCTGGGAAGGCTGTCCACAAGGTTTAGGAGTGTGTCTATGGGAAGGTTCGACCACTCTCCAAGAAGTGCATTTTGAGGTCAGGCACTGATGTCGGATGAGAAGGCCTGGCCCGCAGTCTCTGCTCTAATTCATCCCAAAGGGTTGAGGTGCAGGCCAGTCAAGTTCCTCCACCGCAAACTCCCTCATCCATGTCTTTATGGACCTTGCTATGTACACCGGTGCACAGTCATGTTGGAACAGGAAGGGACCATCCCCAAACCGTTCCCACAAAGTTGGGCGCATTAAATTGTCCAAAATATCTTGGTATGCTGATGCCTTAAGAGTTCCCTTCAATTCAACTAGGGGGCCAAGCCTAACCCCTGAAAAACAACCCTACCATAACCCCCCTCCACCAAACTTTACACTTGGCACAATGCAGTGAGGCAAGTACCGTTCTCCTGGCAACTTCCAGACACATCCATCAGATTGCCAGACAGAGAAGTGTGATTTGTCACTCCAGAGAACACGTCTCCACTGCTCTAGAGTCCGATGGCGGCGTGCTTTATACCACAGCATCCGATGCTTTGCATTGCACTTAGTGATGTAAGGCTTGCATGCAGCTGCTCGGCCATGGAAACCCATTCCATGAAGCTCTCTACACACTGTTGTTGTGCTAATCTGAAGGCCACATGAAGTTTGGAGGTCTTTAGCTATTGACTCTGCTGACAGTGGGTGACTTCTTCACAATATGTGCTTCAGCATGTGCTGACCCCGATCTGTCATTTTACGTGGCATACTACTTAGTGGCTGAGTTGCTGTTGTTCCCAGTTGCTTCCACTGTGCTATGACACCACTAACAGTTTACCGTGGAATATTTAGTAGCAAAGACATTGCATGGATGGACTTGTTGCACAGGTGGAAACCTATCACGGTATTACACTTGAACTCACTGAACTCCTGAGAGCGACCCATTCTTTCACAAATGTTTGTAGAAGCAGTCTGCATGCCTAGGTGCTTGATTTTATACACCTGTGGTCATGGAGGTGATTGGAACACCTGAATCCAATGGTTTGGTGCAGTGTCCCAATACTTTTGGCAATATAGTGTATATAATTTTTGGTCAGTTAAACATGAAATAATAAATATGAGTAGCAGCAGGTCAATTCTACATGTACCTTATTTTCATAGTAGAAATATTAAAGTGATACTAAAGGTTGTTTTAAAAATAAAATAAAATAACAAACATGCCATACTTACCAGTAGTTTTGCACATAGCTGCCCCAATCCTCTTCTTTTGGGTCCCCCACTGGTGATCAGACTCCTCCCCCTTGAGCAGTGCCCCCAGATAAAGCTGCCTGCCCTGGGGGCACCACTGAGTGCTCGCATCCATAAGACAGATAGCGAGCCCCCCTCTCCCCCCCGCCAGACTCTCCTCATTGACTCACTAGCTGTGATTGTCTCAGCCAATGAAGAGGGAGAGTCCCCATACACCCGAAGCTATTGTGCGCATCGCTGGATCAAAGGGGGCTCAGGTATGGATGGGGGGGGGGCTGTAGAAGGTTTTTTACATTCATTCATAGAATGCATGAAGGTAAAGACCTTAAGAACCACTTTAGAGTGGTTGAAGAGGCTGAACGTTTTTTACCTTCATGTGTGCAGCAGTGCCCCCAGCCCCCTCAATACCTGCCTGAGCCTCATCACGATCCAGCAATGTGAACGACAGCTTCAGCTGCCCGGATCTCTGCCTCCTCATTGGTTGAGACAGCAAGTGGGAGCCATTGGCTCCCACTGCTGTCAATCATAGCCAGTCAGCCAATACGGAGAGAGAAGGGGCGGGTCCAAGCCACAGCTCTGTGTGTGAATGGACAAACGGAGCAAAGGGTGCCCCCTTAGCAAGCTGCTTGCTTGCTGTTGGGGCACCCAACAGGAGGGAGGGGCCAGGAGAGCCTGCGGTGGAGAAGAGGAGGAACCAGGCTGATCTGTGCAAAACCACTACACACAGCAGGTAGGTATATTTTATATTTTCCAAAAAAAAAAAAAATGAGTCTTTAGAATCTTTTAAAGGATATCTAATCCAAGAACAAAAAATGTAATATATTGCACCCTAATAGTCCTTAGAAATGGTGGCTGCATTTGTTTTTTAGGGTAAGAACATTTTCAGCCAGCACAGAAAATACCTGCTGATTTTGCTAGAATACCTACTCACTTCCTGTGAGCTGAATTGCTAGAGGTAATCTCAGCCGTATTAGTGCACATGCAAAAAGAACAACTGAGTACTGTCCATGATACTTTTTTTATTTGCACTAACATCCAAAATTTCAGGACAAGCTTTCGCTTCTTCAAGGTCCAAGCAGTACTAATACACAAAGCTTTAGCACAACGTAAAATAAGATCATCTCCGAGGAAGAACAAAAACTGTACGCAGCAGAGATAGAAAGAGAGCTATAGACTGGGGAGGGGGGAGTCACAGAAGTGAGGATGATTGTAAATGTAGTCCAATATCTTTTGTGTCAAATAGGATGGATTATCATTCTTACTTCAAATGTTTGCCTTTCCTGGGTAGTTTTAAAGTTCCCTTTAAGGTTTGGTTCACATATGTGCGGGTGGTGCCCGCACAAATACCTGCAGCCGCACCACCCACACAGAGGAATGCAGAACCCACGGGCAGGTGCCATTTATTCTAATGGCACGCCGCCCACACTGGAAATCGCAACAGTACTGGGAACCTCGGTCTCCGTGCGGATTGCGATTTCCGAAGAAGTGCAGGAACTTCTTCCCTTCGTGTCCTGGGGCACGGGAGTCCATACAAATAAATGGGCTCTCATGACCTGGCCTAAGACCCAAAACATTCAAGTCTAGTCAAGTTGTGAGAAATGTCCCACAGTCATGCAGAAATCATCTTCCCTAATGTTCCTTGATGGTATGTCTGGGTAAATGCATTCTTTTTTGGCAACTTTTGTCTTGTTTTTGCCAAAATAAGATCCTTTGCTATATTTTTTGCATTGGATGAAGTAGACAACATTTCTAGAGGTACAGCTGTATGATCCAGTGATGCTGAAGTTCCCATTTGTTTCACTTGATTTGGTTGCACAGTTTGCAGCGCTTTTTATTGCAGAATGAAGTTTTCTGCTGATTGTTTTCTGTGTGGGATTGAATGGTTTTCTGAAAGCCAGTATTAAGGGGTTGTTGGAATATTTCTTTCAGTTTCCTCCTCTGTTATGAAGGGTTGTAAACCTTTAATTATCTTTCTTATCCCTTTTTGTGTTGGATTTTATGTGGTTACTAGAGATTATTATTTATTGCTCATGTTATTTGTTTTTTTTTTTTCCCTTTAGATTTTCTATCAAGACTGTGTTTACGCTTGCAATGATAGTTTTGTCCTTGTAACCCTTCTAACCCCTGGCTCACACCAATGCGGTTTTTAATGCTTTTTGCAAAAACGCACTATAGTCCATTTAACATGGTTTCCTAAGGGACATGTTCACATCTATTTTTTGAGTTGCTGCGTTTTTGGAAAGAGTCAGGGACTTTTTGAGCTGCAAAAAAAGCTGTGTTTTTGCTGCAATAGAGTTCAATGGAGAAGCTGTTGAAACGCATATATTTAGTTTTTGCCGCATTTTTTGCCCAGAAACAAAAATTTCCACTTTACCAAAAAAAGCTGAAAAAAAAAGCAAAACGCGGTAAAAACGCAAAGCACAATGCAAAAAGCATTTAAAACTGGATCAAAAGCAAAAAGCATAGGTTTGATCCAAGCCTTAGGGAATGAGTCTGCGGGTGTTATGAGATGTTTACTTCTGTCTTCTGGCTCTCAGCATATTCAGTGGTATCTGATGACCTGGCTGTATATGATGGTCCATGTGGTGTGTTGGGGAAGAAAACTGGAACTATGGAGATAGTTGCGTCTGTCAGTGGGTTTCCTGTATATTGAGGTGTGCAGCTTGTCATGCCTGATGTGTACTGTGGTGTCTAGGAAATTGCCCTGTATGTTTGAATAGTCCATTTTTTAGTTTGATTGATGGGTGAAAGGTGTCGATCAATCAGCAAAATTGTTTTAGATTTTCTTAACGTTTTGTCTATATGATGAAAATGGCATCAATAGATCATTAGTACCCTCCAGGTCAGCCATAAATAAGTTTTCATATTGTGGTGTCATTTTACTTCCCATAGCAGTACCAATACACTGAAGATAGATGGCATAGTTAACCTCCCTGGCGGTATTCCCGAGTGTAGCTCGGGGTAAAGTTTCAGTACCACAAGCGGTAACCCCGAGCTACACTCTGGAATACTATGCGGCGCTGCTCCGCGATCCCTCAGTCACTTACCTTGTCCTGAGCTCCCGCGATGTCACTCCTGCAGTGTCCCCTGGCAATGTAATCCGGCGGATGCCGGCATCTGTCATCTGGGTTCCGTCCCCCGTGAGCGCCAGGACGTACGGGGGACAGAACAGCGGGAAATTCAAAAATGACAAAAAGTGACATTCACTAAAATCACATAGTAAAACATTATTGTATCAAACCATGTCACATACATTTTGTCCCGAGTGCTTTGTCCTGTGCCCTGCCTGCATTTTGTCTGTTCTTTCTGCCTGGAAACTGAGAAATGTCCATGGCTTCCAAAAAGCGTCCCTTTAGGTCAAAAGCGGTTTTAGACCAGCTAGAGAACAGCGATAGTAAATCAGAATCACTTGCAGAATTGAGTGATAATGATTCGTGGAGAAATTTGTCATCAGACACTGAAAATGATTTTACGACTTTGCTCAGGGATGTGCGAACTTGGCGCTATATTTCAAATTTCAGTGTTTTTGGTTTGATTATATTATTGAATTCAATTTATTATTATATTATTATTTTTTATGATTATTTATTAAATTATAATTTATGATTTCGTGTTTCAAGTTTTATCCTACCCGGGATGTTTACTAGACTCTTGTTCGGACAGATTTCAGTGAGTTATTCCTAAAAATTACAGGCCCACAATAAACAAAATACATATTTCCATGCAAAAAAAAATGGTACCCGCTTTCAGCACCAAAAATCTGAAATAATCATACCGCCAGGGAGGTTAAAAGTGAAGTATTTGTGAGTGAAGAATGAATTCAATGAGCTATGTAACATTCTCCGTGCTGTATTTGTGGCTAGGTGAGAATGATAAAAATCTGCCACAATCCCATCTTTATGAGGGATATTATTGTACATTCATAGTGACTAGAAGTGTATTTGGTGGTAATTGCTGTATATTGTTGTTTAGAAAATCCATTGCATCTTGCAGGAAACTAGCAGTATTTATGGCTGATGGTTTTAACACTTTCTCTACAAGGCCTGGCAGGGGTGGACTGACAACTCATGGGGCCCCCGGGCAATAGGGGATCATGGGGCCCCATGTCCTTGCCCACACTCAAACCACACCCAAAAAAGCCTATTAAAAAGGTACAAGGGGCATCTCATGGGGCCCCCCACCGACCCCGGGCCCTTCGGGCAGTGCCCGAGTTCCCAAATGGTCAGTCCGCCCCTGGGCCTGAGATTTGTTCAGAAAGTGTGTGAACACATTGAACTATTCTAATTTAATTACCATTGCTGTGTATGTTTGTGCGTGTGTGTTTTCCTTCCTCGGAGATTGTCTTACTTAACATTCTGCTAAAACTTTGTGCATTAGTACTGCTTGGATCCTGAAGAAGAGGACACACTCCGAAAGCTTGTCCTAAAAATTTGGATGTTAGTGCAAAAACAAAGTATCACAGATAGTACTCAATTGTTCTGTGAGCTAAACTGAAAGCCGACACACTTACAGTATTTTTCTTGTGTAAAACACCTATCACTGTGTAATTGAAAGGAACGGGACATTTTTTAGTGATACGGCGCTGCGTTACTTTAACTGACGATTGCACGGTCATGCAATGCTGCACCCAAATGAAGTTTATGTCCTTTTTCCCCACAAATAGAGCTTTATTTCGGTGGTATTTGATCACCTCTGCGTTTTTAATTTTTTTGTGCTATAAAACACATTGAAAAAAACCCCCAATATTTTTTACTTTTCGCTATAAAACATCCAGTAAAAACATTTGAAAAAATCTAATTTCTTCATAAATTAGGCCAAAATTATTCTGCTACGTGTCTTTGTTAAAAAAAAAATCCCAATACATATAAATTAATTGGTTTACATTAAAGTTATAGCATCTACAAATGGCGTTATATATACTGGAATTTTTTTTAAATTTTTTTTTATTCTAATAATGGCAGAGATCAGCAACGTATAGTGGGACTGCGGGACTGTGGCGGCCATTCTGACACTGGGTGGGAACTGACAAACTGTCACTGACATCCCAATCACACTCCCAATCAGTGCTAATAAAAAGAACTGACACTATACTAATGACACCGGGCAGGAAGGGGTTAACAAGTGGGGCAATCAAAGGGTTGTGCTGTTTTACTATGCATGTGTGTTTTACTTGGGAAACATGCTACTGTATATTTCTCTGCTGTGCAGAGAAATACAAAGAAGCATGTCCTTGCTGGCAGGAGAGAGACCTGTGTTGTTTACACACAGGTCTCTCCCCTGCAAGTGTTACTTGGCGATCGCCGGGTGTCGGAAGAGAATCTCCGGCTGGGACGCAGTGATTGACATCTGTAGCCGCCAATGGCGGCGTGGATAGGGTGGCATGCGCCCCTTATCTGGAAATGCATATCACGTATTTATACGTGATTTTGCACAGCCCTGCCTCCTTCAGCAGTATTTCTGCTATAGGGCGGAGGGCAACTGGTTAAAGTCCAGTTTATGTGAGAACCATGGCTGCCTCCCTAGATACCATTAACCTCCTTGGCGGTATTTCCGAGTGTAGCTCAGGGTAACATTTCAGTACCACAAACGGTAACCCCGAGCTACACTCGGGAATACCATGCGGCACTGCTCCGGCATTTGTTCTTCACTTACCTTACCCTGCGCTCCCACGATGTGTCCCCTGCAGCGTCCCCGGCCATCTCCTCCGGCCGATGCCGGCATCCGGCTTCTGTGTCCTGTCCCTGTGACGTCGGGACGTATGGGCGCCGCTGGCGGCGGGAAATTTAAAAATTTTAAAAAATTTCTTTTTTTTTTACATTTTACATAGTAAAACATTGCTGTCTCAACCAATTTCACATACATCTTGTCCCTAATGCTTTGTCCTGTGCCCTGCCTGCATTTTGTCTGTTCTTTCTGCCTGGAAACTGAGAAACGTCCATGGCGTCCAAAAAGTGTCTCTTTAGGTCAAAAGCAGTTTAGATCAGCCAGGTGAACAGCGATAGTAAATCAGAACCACTTGCAGAATTGAGCGATAATGATTTGTGGGGAAATTCGTCATCAGACACTGAAAACGATTTTGCGACTTTGCTCAGCAATGTGCTAACTTGGCGCTATATTTCACATTTCAGTGTTTTTGGTTTGATTATATTATTGAATTAAATGTATTTTTATTATATTATTATTTTTTATGATTATTTATTAAATTATAATTTATGATTACGTGTTTCAAATTTTATCCTACCCGGGATGTTTAATAGACTCTTGTTCGGACAGATTTCAGTGAGTTATTCCTAAGAATTACAGGCCTACAATAAAAAAACTACATATTTCCAAAAAAATGGTACCGCTTTCAGCACCAAAAATCGGAAAGAATCATACCGCCAAGGAGGTTAAGAGATGAGTGTAGACACAAAACTACTCACAGAACAAAAGTCAGCCATTCACAGAGAGCTTTTTATTTTCTGAATGAATATTAAGCTTCCTCTGATTGGCTGAGGTGGAGACGCAGGGATTACATAACTTTTCAGCCAATTAGAGGAATATTTGTATTCATTCAGAATGTACAAAGCCCCCAATGAATGGCTGATCAGCACTCAAGACTGACTCATACAATCCATACAGTATTGACAGCCGCTGCAATGTCTTAGTAAAGTGCAGCATGTGTAAGCCTCAACCCTGAAATCTGAATAAAGTACATATTTCTATAGTGTTTATTTACCTCTTTCCAAAGCAGTAAGGCTCATTTTTCTCTACTGTCTAGTTTCTCTGCTATCAGTGTCATTTTCTGATGCCAAGAGTTAAAAAGGTGGCAGGGGAGGGAGCTCCACCAGATTGACAGCCTCAGCTCTGTTCCTGTGTACTGTGTGAAAGGGGGGGGGGGGGGCTTTTTCCTCCAATCAGCTGTTAGAGATCTTGTACAGTATGTAACTGCAGCTCCCTGCCCCCTGCTTTGTGAGTCCATGAAAAATCGTTTACATCTCTGAGTTTTACAAGGATGTACAGGACAAATGGCTGCAGATAAACAGGTACAACCTGTAGGCGGATTTATTTCCTCTCTGTGTATTACCTGAGACCACTTTAAGGCAGTAAACGTGAGCAATGGCAGAGGGTTAGTGACACACTAAAAGCTACGGTATCATAAAATTACATTGTACACAAATCACATTAATATTTCTGAATGTCACCACATACTGTAAAACATTGTATTTGTTGAACAGGTTTTCTCATTTCAGTGAAAAGCTGACACAGGCTGGACATGCCTCCTAATATAGAAGTGTCAGGAGAAAAGGCATTTGAGGGGTCTACAACAAGATACTAGTTTTCTCCTGAACTAAAAATGAAGGTGACACCTCATCACTGATGTCAATGGGTGGAACAGAGTACCATTATTGGTGTCAGTGGGAGGAATGGTGCCCTATTGTTGATTTCATTGGAAGGGATAGTGCCCCATCATTGGTGTTAGAGGGAGGAATAGTGCCCCTCATTTGTGTCAGAGGAATGAATAGTACCCCATTATTGGTGTCAGTGGAAGAAATAGTGCCCCATCATTGGTATCAGTGGGAACAATAGTGCCCCATTGTTGGTGTCAATAGAAGGAATAGTGCCCCATCATTGGTGTCAGTGGGAAGAATAGTGCCCCATCCTTGGAGAAAGTGGGGAGGAATAGTGCCCCACCATTGATTTCAGTAGGAGGAATAGTACTCCACTGTTTGTTTCAGTGGTATGAATTATGCCCCAATGTAATGTCAAGGGGAGAAATAGTGCCCCAAGGGCTGGATAAAGGCAAGCAAAGGGCAGCATCCAGCCCTCGGGTTGTAGTTTGAAGACCACTGCTTTAGATCATGATTCAATTTCACTGCAAAAAACAGCAAACAAACGTATACTGTAAATTTCTAGTTCTAAATGCATTGAGCTCACTGTAGACTCACTCACTTATAAACTTCCTCCATCATCTTCTGATACTTCACTCGTCAGTCATCAGAAAAATCTCTGGATTTACAGGAATTAGCCATAAAACAGTTGCTGTTTGAATAGTTTTTGTTTCTTTTTTTGCATGCACTCTCAAAGAATTATTATATTGAATTATTTTTTATTGTATATTCCAAATGCACAACAAATTACTCAGTGCCCCACCCCACTGAGCGCACTGAGATAAGAGGAGATGGCAGAGGCACCTTTGCTATTGCCAGGAGATAGGCAGGGATGTCAGAGATCTGTTTGCTGCCATGTATTGTGTTCTTATGCTTTTATGCTTGTTTGTGTGAACTGCCTTGTTTATGTCAAAATAAAAAATTGCACAATTTACTTATTTACAATTATTATGCAGACATACATTTAGGATTTTGTACTTTTCTATATGTTTGTTTCAGGATAGGAAATCCCATACCTCTGAATGTTGTCCTCAAGCTCCCGGGTCTTCAGTTCATCTTCTTGCATCTGTCTCCTCGTGGCCTCATCTTCCTCCGGGGTAGAAGCTGGAGCTCCATCAAGAAGCCAGCGCTCTCGTAGAGCCTTAGACTACATAAAGACAATGAGAATTGAATTAAGTGAAGAAAATATTATAAACTGTTTAATAAAAATACATGGTTACATTGAAGTTCAAAAAGGCAAAACAAAGAGAAGAAAAGCAAAAAGTGTATTAAGATAAAAACATATTGCATCCTCAAAACAAGTAGTCCGACATCAACAAAAAATCCTTCCTGATCCCCTCAAAGGCAATCAGTTAACTCCCTAGATCAATCCCAAAGTGATATTTCTGATAATACTCATGTATATGTATTGCACAATATGCAGGGGTCAGCAGCTTGTAACCCATAGAATGGAAGGGTCAGGAATATGTAATGCTAAGAATGAAGGGGTCAGGAATATGTAATATCAAGAGTGCAGGGGTCAGGAGTATCTAGCACAGAAAGTGCAGGGTTGAGTACAGTATAATGCACAAAGTTCAGCGGTCAGGTGTATGTAACTCTCAAGGGTCAGAAAAGTATAATGCACAGCATTCAGGGGTCGGAAGAATGTAACAGAGAGAGTTCAGGGGTCAAATGAACAAAATGTACAGTGCACAGGTGTCAGGAGTATGTAACACATAGTGTTAAGGGGTCTGGACTGGGTAATGCACAGAATGCCCCTAACTCACCTCCTTCCCCAGTACAAATTTATCCTCCAAGCTATAATCCTACTCAAACAAAAATTCCCTTTGCTTCTAAATACAAATTTATCCCCATTACAAATCCACCTCCCACTAAGCCTAAATCTTCTCTCTATGCTAAAATCTCCCCCAGCAGAAATTCTGCACAAATATATTCACAGACCTCAGATGGATTGGTGACCAGCAGAGTTCGTAAAGTCCTCCCAGGTCTCCCCTCAATGGTGATGTATGACTTCAGAGCCGAGGAGACGCCTAGGAGTGCCCCCAGCTTTCTATTACAATTGCCTCTCTAATCTGAGGTCTGAGGGGAACAGGTGGCAGGAAAAAAACAAGTGGTCACGGCTTGGGACAGAGGACACCATAAAAGGTCCCTTTCCCACTGATGGCCCGATTGGGTCCACCTGTCAGTTTTTCAGGCAGACCCGGTCGGACCATCCATAGTTCCCTATGGAGCGGCGGGTGTCCGCTGACACCCGCCAGTGTCCAATCCAATCCTGTACACTAAAAACAGATGTATGGGGATCCATCCAGCGGATTGGATGACAGTCAGATGGAAACAGACAGGCTGTCCGTTTCCATCCGACCGCCCCATAGAAAACAGCAGGCTGTGTCCGAAATGTGGAGTATTTTCAACCAGTGCCCTTATACTAGTGATGTCCATGGACTGAGCTGTCTTTCACTGGGTTTTTTAACACAGTAAAAAGGACAACGTGCAGAAGATAGCTCTAACCCAAACAGACCTGGAATAAAAATGGTTTATGCAGTCCAACCGTTTTACTGGTCACATACTAATGGCTTCCCTCTTTGTGATGTAATTTTTTCTACAGCCCTCAAAGTCTTTCTGTCTCCCAGTAAATTTCTCACAGGGGATTATTTACTAAAACTGCATGATGCAAAATCTGGTGCAGCTCTGCATAGAACCAATCAGCTTCCAGGTTTTATTGTCAAAGTGTAATTGAACAAGCTGAATTTAGAAGCTAATTGGCTACCATGCACAGCTGCACCAGATTCTGAGTGCACCAGTTTTTGTAAATTCCCCCCACAGTGTGCCACTGCCTGGGGCAAGCCTAGAAGCAGGATAAATCCCCTAAGTGAAAGTTATGGACTGTAGTAATAGTAAAAAAAAGTTTTAATAAAAAAATAAATAGAAAATAAAAGTTTTGATAACAAAAGCAACCTAGCAATAATCCCTAAGCAATCAACGAAGACTGTATAGTCTAAAGCAACCTTTTCAACCAGGGGGCCCAGACACCCAGAGGTGCATTCAGGTTTCTTCAGGGGTACCTTGGCAAACTGCCAAAAATTATCAAAAATTGTATACAAGCCAGAGGGTGGATCAAGCCTGCCTTTTAGTTACACAAAGCCACAGGTTTTCATTGTGCACCATTGCAACTTTCTAGCTGCTGTCATCATATAAACTAATGATGTCATTGGTTGATAAGGAGGATTTGAGAACCTGCAATTACATCCTTGTCCCCCCCCCCCCCCCCACTGGGGTCACTTAAGCTGAGTGAGGGAGACAAGTGAGGGAGAAGAGAAATGTTGGAATACCGGTCAGCATCAGTGTACAAAGGTGTATTTCTTAGGAAGAAAAATTCACCTCTAACATTGGGTGTCCTACATGTGTGGATGGTGCTATGTTATGTAAAAACTTTTAGTTTAGTGTTGTACATTTTACATGGGGTGCCTCTGATTGTACTGAATTTTAAAGGATGTCTTGATTGAGAAAATTTTGAGAAACACTGGTCTAAAAAGAAAATCCAGTTTACCCAAGCCTTAAAATCAACCCCCCAACACTTGACCAAAATACGAGAATTAACACTTAGCTTAATCCTTATGCTTAATCCTATCCTTACTACTAAACTTTACCCCAACCTAACCCTTTACTTGAACCTTCAATTTGCTCACTCAGTAATAGGTTCACCTAATAGAGCCTTCCACCCAACAGTTGCCAGGCCTGGATGCTGGAGTGCGGGGGGGGGGGGGAGGCTTTGGATTTTTCTACAATCTTACCAACTTGGAAATTACATAAGCAATTTATGGTTTTGAGGGGCAGTGGCAAGTACAGGAAGGTTGCCAAAATCAGAGATGAATGAAGCCAAATCCAGGTTCCTAAAATCATACCAAACACTATAGTTTTATACATAACAACTATACAGCTACTATTATTAATAATCAAAATAACAACGTTTACCTTAAGATGCTGCAGTTGTCTCCGGTCATCTTCTAACTGACGTCTCTTGTTCTCAATTTCAACTTGACGTCTCCTTTTCTCCTGAGATAAATGTGAATATATGACATAAGTCTATATGTATCGATACATATTACAAAAGTGAATACAAATTAGCTGTTTTTAAATTAAATAAAATTCATCACTGTTTTCATGCACCTAAGTCTGTATAATCATAATGTATTTCAATGTGATAAAATTTGGGATGATGGGCATGCCTGCAGCGCTAATTAGCTGGTGTTCTCACTCCATAAAAGATTCATTTCCTAAAACACAATATTGCATTTATGACTGCCTGCAGACCAAAATGACAGTGTGAATGCAAACTGCTATCCCCTGTCTCTATATTTTTTTTCATTAATCATGTTTCATGATTAATAACTACTGGACCCTATCAGTATACATAAATATTACATGATTACAAAAAAAAAAAAAAAAAGAAAAGCTTAATGAATAATCAGTGTGCTTCAAAGTGATGGAGGAGGGATAGTGGGAGGACAGGTTTATTGTTTCAACCACGTGTTTATTTAGGGGGATTCTTTTTTTACTTACTCAAGACTCAGAATGGTGTGCACCAGATTTCCGTAAGGTAGACAAAAAGGTCCACAGAAAAGCAAATGCATTACAAATGGGTCATAAAAGATCCTTACTCACAGCAGGTCATTACTTTTTGTTAACATGTAGAATAGCAATGTGGGAATCATTATCTAACATTACAATTAGTGGTAACAATAGTAACAATATATACAATTTGTCAAGTGTTTTATATACATTTTATATATATATATATATATATATATATATTTATATATATATATATATATATATATATACATACATACACACACACACGGCTAAATGAATATAGATCATGTTTTGCTTGTACAAATAAATGTATCTAAAAGTCTGCATGCAATAAGCAGAATGAGTGTGACCTTAGTACCTTGACCCTACTGTCGAAACACATTTCTCTTAATTAGATCAGACTTGCTGGAATTTAAAATTCCTTGAGAGTGCTCTCCATGCATTAGCTGTCAAAGAATATCCTTAGCAGCAGTGACATCTGCCGGTCATAGGCTGATGTTCAATGACAAGTAACATGCACATTCATGTATACTCAGACAAGAACACATGCTGTCATACACCCCCTGTACATACCGCTATCATCTGCAGCCTTTCCTGCTGACTTTGTGATTCTCTGATCCTGAAAAAGAATAGCAATAAATGTTATTTAAAAATAAAAATACCTACATATTACACTAATCCTGCTGTGGAGTTACTATGTCAGCATTTATGTGTGTACATAACCATCAATAGATGTATCTGGTCATAGAACTCAACAACTAAAAAAATCAATTGTAGGGGAGGTGGCTGTACGCTCCATAAAAACCAGAAGAGAATGACTTTTTTTAAACCTAGATGATCAAGTTGCACATGCGAATACGGGAATTAATCATGGATAATGAACATAGTGAAATGGGACTTGTCACTGTTGAATTTTCACCACATTTGAGGTAATTTAGAGCTGATCAGATCCTTTATATTCATAGTGGTAGTTTACGTATGCAGCATGATAAAGATTAAATTATGACATAATTACGTTTCTGTCTGCTGCTTGATGTGGGAGTTAATAAAATAGGCATTTATAGTTTCTAATGGCTCACTTGCTCTTAATAAATGGTTGCAGCACCTTTAAAAGCAGAGACTGCAACTGAATCTCCAAATCGAATTAGAGGAATTGTGCATGGAGGCACAGATCAAAGGTACACATTCTAATACAGCCACTTTAGAGTCCATTCACATTAGAAGAACTGGCAAGCATTGCCCAACACGTCAGCACATATATGTTGTAAAAGCAATGCATTTCCATAGGAGTCATTCCAGTTCTGAGACAAGGTCATCCAGCGCCCAGGGCAAAGATACCAAACTGCGCCCCCCACTCATGATTTGCAAGTTTAGGGGATCCTATGTCCAGCACTCACTCACTCGACAAAATTACTACTCCTGTAAGCCTTTTAACAGGAGGAAGGCACACTTATACCTACAGTAAACCATTGTGCCCAGGGCAGCTGCCCCTCCCGCCCACCTCTTGTCCCAGCCCTGAGCCATTCACACCAGTGAGTTGATCTCATGTGCATTGCCCTGCCCTAAAAAAAAAAAAAATGCACCTCAGATGACTAACTATTGCAGATTTCAACCATGGAGAACCTCCATATGGTTGACTACCCAGTACTCCAGAGACCTCTGAGATTCTGGGCCATTCATATACCCCAGAATGTGTTCTTACAGCCAGGGGTGGACTGAAAACTCATGGGGCCCCGGGCCATAGGGGATCATGGGGCCCCTGTGTCCTTGTCCACACTCAAAACACACCCAAAAAAGCCTATAAAAGGTACCAGGGGCATTTCATGGGGCCCCTACTGACCCCGGGCCCTCGGGCAGTGCCTGAGTGCTCAAAATGGTCAGTCCGCTCCTGCTTACAGACTAATGTGTATGTCTTCGAACCCCTCTATCATATGAACGATGAACATTTATACCTTCAACCACAGAGATTGAGGGAACTATTCAGACAAGTTTCCTTGCCACTTCAGTGATTACTGCTCACCAAACAAAGCTTATTGAAGGCAATAATGGACTTACAGTGGATATAAAAAGTCTACACACCCCTGTTAAAATGTCAGGTTTCTGTGAGTAATGAGACAAAGATAAATAATTTCAGAACTTTTTCCACCTTTAATATTACCTATAAACTGTACAACTCAGTTGAAAAACAAACTTAAATCTTTGGGGGGGGGGGGGGGGGGGGGGGGGTAAACATGAAAAAACTAAAATACTCTGGTTGCATAAGTGTGCACACCCTCTTATAACTGGGGATGTAGCTGTGTTCAAAATTAAGCAATCACATTCAAAATCATGTTAAATAGGAGTCAGTACATACCTGCCATCATTTAGAGTGCCTCTGATTAACCTCAATACAGTTCAGCTGTTCTAGTATGTTTTTCCTGACATTTTCTTAGTCGCAAGGAGCTGCAGGAATATCTGGCAAGTGCTGGCTGTGAGTACATGTGACAACATTCTCCCTTATTCTTCATATATCTGGGCTATGGGGTAGAGTGGCAAGATGGAAGCCTTCTCTTACAAAGAAAAACATCCAAGCCTGGCTAAATTTTGCAAAAAACACATCTGAAGTCTCCCAAAAGCATGTGGGAAAATGTGTTATGTTCTGATGAAACCAATGGTTGAACTTTTTGTCCATATTTCCAAAACAATATGTTTGGCACAAAAACAACACTGCACATCACCAAAAGAACACCATACCCACAGTGAAGCATGGTTGTGGCAGCATCATGCTTTGGGGCTGTTTTTCTTCAGCTGGAACTGGGGCCTTAGTCAAGGTAGAGGGAATTATGAACAGTTCCAAATACCAGTCAATATTGGCACAAAACCTCCAGGCTTCTGCTAGAAAGCTGAACATGAAGAGGAACTTCATCTTTCAGCATGACAACGACCCAAAGAATACATCCAAATCAACAAAGGAATGGCATCACCAGAAGATTCAAGTTTTGGAAAGACCAAGCCAGAGCCCAGACCTGAACCCGATCAAAAATCTGTGGGGCGATCTGAAGAGGGCTGTGCACAGGAGATGCCCTCGCAATCTGACAGATTTGGAGTGTTTCTGCAAGGAAGAGTGGGCAAATATTGCCAAGTCAAGATGTGCCATGCTGATAGACTCATACCCAAAAAGACAGAGTGCTGGAAAAAATCAAAGGTGCTTCAACAAAGTATTAGTTTAAGGGTGTGCACACTTATGCAACCATATTATTTTAGTTTTTTATTTTTACTTCCCTCCACCTAAAAGATTTCAGTTTGTTATTCAACTGAGTTGTTAAGTTTATAGGTTACATTAAAGGTGGAAAAAGTTCTGAAATTATTTATCTTTGTTTCTTTTATTACATCACAGAAATCTGACATTTTAACGGGCGTGTAGACTTTTTATATCCACTGTACATAATTGTTTCTTTATATGTCTGGACAACATGATCACAAACAAAATGAAATACTGTTCAAGTGTCAGTGATTTATCTATAATATTAGTCTTTCCTCATTTTTTTTTTTTTTTTTTAATATTTGGTACACATTATTGTAAACATAACTGCCATTTTATGATTGAGAAAATGATATATTAATTGGGTTTATTTTCTACCATTCCTGTTCTTGCATTTACCCCTGTTCTATTGGTTTCTATTACAGCCATTTATATAGCACTGTCAAGTTTACGTAGCGCTTCCATATTATTATTTATATATTATTTATTCACATCAGTCCCTGTCCTCAAGGAGCTTACAATCTAAGGGTCCTATCCCACATGCACACACATACTAGGGGTAATTTAAACATCTCAATATTTTTAATTTTTTTTACTACAGATGCTAATATAGCTCTGTTAATTTAAACAGTGCTTTACGGATACTGTATTGTACATTCACATCACTCTTTGCCCTCAAGTAGCATACAATGGCCAGTTCACACTGTATGCATTTCAGTTGCTTTTTTATCTGCATCCAAAAAGCACAGAAAGTGGGTTATATGGTTGTCAATGTCATAGTTCACATCAGTGCTTGCAGTTCCAGTGAGTTCTGGTCACAGGAAAAAAGTAGAACAGGCTGCATTTTTCCTTTACAAAACTGCACTTGAACGCAGTGAAATGCATCAAAAAAACACACCAAAAATGCACTGGAATACACATGCCCTATTTAAACTGAAGAAAAAGAGAGGGGAAAAAATTTACCGGAACACATTAAAAACGCACTGTAACGCATCAAAAACGCACCGGAATGCGCCAAAAACGCACAGGTGGAAACGCATCCGGAACGTATCTGGATTGCGTTTCTATGATGTGAACCAGCCCTAAACTCCCTAACTCACATTCATACATACACATACTAGTGCCAAATAACCTACCAGCAACGACCCTAGTGCTGCTAGGGAGAAGTGCTAACCACTTAGCCACTGAGCTGCCCTGAGTAGGTTCATTGTGTGAAAGGCTGTTATGGGGTCCCTGTCTTTGATAAGGGCTCATTCACATGGACAACCAGGGAAAACAGCAGGAGTTTGAGCTGCAGTTTTACCACCCCAACTGCCCTCCTGAGGAAGGAGCTGCAGCCACTCCAGGCTGTACACATGCCAAGGCCTCAAGAAAAATGAAGCAGCATATCCAATTTGGCAGGTGATACCAAGTGTGACCCATTCACAGAACTCAGTCAGCCCTGGTTCACACTGATGCAGTGTGGCATTCGCACTGGTTTCTGCAATGCATCATAATTACACCCCGTTCATGCGAACCATTGCGGGTGTGTATTTTAAGTTAACAACACCCTGAAATCAGTTCACAAACCGCGGTGCGATGTGCAGAATCAGATCACACCCATGCGATCTGATTCTGGGGAGGACAAAAAAAAGGGTCCTGCACTTTTTTGGTGCGGATGCGGTGCGATTTGAGCCATACAAAATGTATGGCTCAAATTGCACCGCACAGAAATCGCATGTGATTTGCACAGGAATGCGGTGCGGTTCCTGTGCGAATCACATGCAATGTACCACACCGAATCAGTGTGAACCAGGGCTCATTCCCTCTAAATGGCAATCCACTGTGGAATGCTTTTCAGGGGGGGCGGCACTGATAGCTGCACATCCTAATACTTAACAGTTTGACTCATTTGTCCAAGAACATTCTTCCAGAAGATTTGAAGGAGATCCAGGTGCTATGTGGGTAACTGTATACAAGCTTTCACATTATTTTTAGTAGGCAGTGGTTTCCGCCTTGCTTCTGACCTGCGTATCTAATGTTTCTTCCTTCTGTGTCATGGATACTGATTTGAGCTGAGTAAAGAGCAGCCTGCAATTGCCTGAACGATGGATCTGAGTTATGTTTACTGCATCAGTGATTGCACATCCTGCTTCATGACCATTTGTAGGATGGTCACCACTGCCTCAAACCTTCTCCTTCCGATTAGTTTGGCTTTGGCCATGGTTTCATTGAAGTTCAAAGCCTTAGAGTATATGTAAATCCTCAACATGTAAAACAACCCATTCAGTTTAAAATAAAAATGAAAGGCAAAACATTTGTGTATAGATATAAAAAAAAATTATAAACACCTTTTTCCTCATTTTTTTTTATAAGTGATTACATTCCCTCTGTTTTGAGCTGCATAAGAGCTGGGGGAGGAGAAACACCAACACACTGATCTTCCCGGTAAATGGCTGTGCAAGGGCAGGGGCGGACTGACAACTCATGGGGCCCCCGGGCAATAGGGGATCATGGGGCCCCTGTGGCCTTGCCCAAACTCAAAAAAGCCTATGAAAATCTACCAGGGGCATCTCATGGGGCCTCCTACTGACCCCGGGCCCTCGAGCACAAGGGGGCAAAGTTCCAATGATCACCCACACAAGGGGGCAAAGTTCCACTGACCACCAGCACAAGGGGGCAAAGTTCCACTGATCACCAGCACAAGGGGGCAAAGTTCCACTGATCACCAGCACAAGGGGAGCAAAGTTCCACTGATCACCAGCACAAGGGGGCAAAGTTCCACTGATCACCAGCACAAGGGGGCAAAGTTCCACTGACCACCAGCACAAGGGGGCAAAGTTCCACTGACCACCAGCACAAGGGGGCAAAGTTCCACTGACACCAGCACAAGGGGGCAAAGTTCCACTGACAACCAGCACAAGGGGGCAAAGTTCCACTGACCACCAGCACAAGGGGGCAAAGTTCCACTCACCAGCAGCACAAGGGGGCAAAGTTCCACTGACCACCAGCACAAGGGGGCAAAGTTTCACTGACCACCAGCACAAGGGGGCAAAGTTCCACTGATCAACCAGCACAAGGGGGCAAAGTTCCACTGATCACCAGCACAAGGGGGCAAAGTTCCACTGACCACCAGCACAAGGGGGCAAAGATCCACTGACCACCAGCACAAGGGGGCAAAGTTCCACTGACCACCAGCACAAGAAGGCAAAGTTCCACTGACCACCAGCACAAGAAGGCAAAGTTCCACTGACCACCAGCACAAGGGGGCAAAGTTCCACTGACCACAAGCACAAGAGGTCAAAGTTCCACTGACAACCAGCACAAGGGGGCAAAGTTCCACTGACCACCAGCACAAGGGGGCAAAGTTCCACTGACCACCAGCACAAGAGGGCAAAGTTCCACTGACAACCAGCACAAGGGGGCAAAGTTCCACTGATCACCAGCACAAGGGGGCAAAGTTCCACTGACCACCAGCACAAGGGGGCAAAGTTCCACTGACCACCAGCACAAGGGGGCAAAGTTCCACTGACCACCAGCACAAGGGGGCAAAGTTCCACTGATCAACAGCACAAGGGGGCAAAGTTCCACTGATCACCAGCACAAGGGGGCAAAGTTCCACTGACCACCAGCACAAGGGGGCAAAGATCCACTGACCACCAGCACAAGGGGGCAAAGTTCCACTGACCACCAGCACAAGAAGGCAAAGTTCCACTGACCACCAGCACAAGGGGGCAAATTTCCACTGACCACCAGCACAAGGGGGCAAAGTTCCACTGACCACCAGCACAAGGGGGCAAAGTTCCACTGACCACCAGCACAAGGGGAACAAAGTTCAACTGACCACCAGCACAAGGGGGCAAAGTTCCACTGACCATCAGCACAAGGGTGCAAAGTGCCACTGACCACCAGCAAAAGGGGGCAATATTCCACTAGCCACCAGCAGAAGCTAAAATCTTGTGTTAATATAAACAAGTGCATGAAAACTTGCAGCCAGTCCAATATACTGTAGATATCCTTGGCAGTGCACTGACCGGCCAAGCGAAAACTCGAATGAGTCGCGGCTAAGGAGTCGCAGCTCTTGATGTCATCGCCTGGATTACTACTCCTTTCCGAGCATGCGCATGGCCCTATGTGCCTGTTATCTGATGCTCGGCTGCTGGGGCGACTTGGCTTGCGTGACGACAGAAAGTGCTCTGCTTGCCCACTGCGGCACGCGTGCCATAGGTTCGCCACCACTGCTCTAGGCAAACAGTTTAATTCACAGTTGAAATACATATATGGAAGCTGACTAAATATCTGTATTTTTTCATCCAGTCCTGTGATTTATATAGCCTTGTAGAGCCAGGCTACTGATCTGATTTCTCTACTGCAGTTACAGCTGAATTGTAGACTAAAACGTTATTGGGGCATTAGCTAGGTAACAATATGTACCTCTAATGAAAGGTGCCCCACCGATGGCTGCTACATCTTTCTTGAAAAATGATAGTGAAGTCATTACTGAAGTTCCAGTGGTGAAACTGACAGGGCTGGAGCAAAGCATTCATAGCAGGCCTCTTGCTCTGTAACTCCTCCATTCAGAAAAGTCTTGTAATCTTTTCAAAGAATACAAGACATTCTGTGATTGGACATATAAAATTGACAAGGGTTCTAATCCCTTTCCACTCTATCCAACACTAAAAAAAGCTTTGAATTTAGTTACACTTAAATCATGGCTAAGAAAGGATTCCCCTTATACCTATGACAACTCAACTAATAATATTTTTCACCCATACAAACACACAGATACTTCAGTTGCTAAATTTAACTTCTGAGTTCGGCCTGCTAGTTCCACAACAATTTCTTGTTTTATATATGTCACTACTTTGCCTATTATTGTACTGTTCTATTTATGCCTGTTACTGCTCTGTCGTCATTGCCAATTTTCCATTGCACCATATATTTGCAAAACACTCTAGTTTTTTGATCTACCATTGTTAGAAGAACGCTCATCAGAAGTTAAAAAGGCTTTGGTAAATAGTATGTAAACCCAACATATCATATTTCTGACATGTGCCTGCTGTACCATGAATTTGCATGATAAATTATCCTGTTCTCTTTGTATTGCTTCCTTTCTGTGAAATCCCTGGTATTCCTGCCAGTCCCTCTGCTTTCTTATTATCAACTGACTACACTAGGCTTGAGAGCACAGCATGGTCAGTTCTCTAGCTGTGCTGGGAACTCAGCCTGCTCTCCTCCAATGATCAGACATTTGCTGACACACCCTCCCTGCACAGGCTTTCACTTGGAAGATCAGTGTACTGCTGCTTCTCCTCCCCTAGCTCTTACTCAGCAGAGAACAGAGGGAATGTGGTCACTTATAAAAAGGGGGAAAAAGGTGTATATAATGTGTTTTATATCTACACACAAATGTTTTGCCTTTCATCTCTATTTTAAACTGAATGGGTTGTTTTACAAGGTGAGGGTTTACAATCATTTTAAGGCAGAATTTCGGGAAAACATTTTTTTTGCCTGTACAGTGGGGCTGTACTGGCACTGCACAGGTTAACTGCTAATTTTTTTCTAGGGGAGAGAACACCGAAGATATACTAACCTGACCCACCAATTCTCCCCGCACAAGACCGGTCATTACGGCTACTGCGCCACGCAGTCCAGCAGTCTTGTAAATGGACTGTTCCTGACGTCAGCACACTCAATGTACGCTCCATAGACAGGAACAGTCCACCGCTGGGCTGCAGGAGAGCGTGGTTTTCCGTAGGATCGGTGGGTCAGGTAAGTGAGCTTTGTCCTCATTTCTAGAAAAAATGAGCAGCTGATTCATGCAGTGGAGACAAAGCCCTACTGCCTGGTAAAAAAAAACATAAATTTGACTGGATTTCTGCTTTAAATCCCTCCCAGGGGGCCCACTGCACATGTATCTTGCCCCCATTAAAATCTATACTGTGGTTTAGAAATAAAAAGTTACATGCTGACAGCTACTACATTAATCTCTCTCAGATAAATGTAATTTCTGGGTTGTGGTTTTATGAATGGGAGCCAGAGGCAGTGCCACCACTAGGTGAACTAGGCAGCCGTCTAGGGTGCACTGCTGCCTAGGGCACAGCCACAGCTGCTCTCCATAGTGAAAGGCTATTTGTGCTGGGATGGATAATGCAGATGATGGGAGGGGGGGGGGGGGATTTGTGTAGAGAGAAGGAATAGGGGGATATGTGTTAGGAATAGGAGGGAGGTCTGGGGGGGTGGGATTTGTGATAAAAGGGGGGGGTTGGGTAAGGTAGGAGGATTTTATGCTGGGAGCGGTTTTAGCTAGAGGGGGGAATTTGTCCTAGGTGGGGGGATTGAATGAAGAGGGAGGTGCTGGGGGAGGGGATTGGGGGTATCTGTGTTAGGAGGGGGAATTGAGGGGGATTTGTGCTATGAGAGGGGATTGGGATGGGTTGTGCTAGGAGGGGGATTTGAGGGGGTAATTTGTGCTAGAAGAGGGAATTGGTTGGGGGTTGTACTAGGAGAGTGGGATTAGGGGGGACTTGTGTTGGGGGGAATTGTGTTAACAGGGGGGATTGGGAGGGGTTGTGCTAGAGGGGGGATTTGGGTAGGGAGAAAGGATAATGCAGTGAAGGGAGGTGGGCCAAGCTATCGGCAGCTCAGCGACTAGGGCACAGAATTTGACGGGACAAGTATTCAGTTCTGGGTTACCTGGGGGATTTAACATCTCTTTTTTTTACTTATAATGAGGATCCTTCTTTAAGTGCACCATATTTTGGATATATTACGTACTCCCATATTGTGTTTAAAAAAAAAACAGTGATGTATTCACATCCTACAAAGTTCTTGAAGCTGAATTTCCTCTTTCCCTCCTATATAGGACAGCTACATATAAAAAAAACCCCCACAAAAGAATAACAACCATCTTTAGCATTTCAGAAACTATGAGATTGTATACCCACGTAGTTTCTATTGTTTACAGTCTCAAACATGGACACTTACTAAATACAGCAACTGAATGGTGAATTGTACTGACTTAAAAAAAAAATCACTTGGCACTATTACAAGACCAGACGCTTAGGGAAAAGGAGGGGGATTGTGAACAAAAGTACTTTTCAAAAAATACTTCACTGGTGCGTAAAAAAAAAAAAAAAAATCACACCCCTATTGGTGAAAATCAGGACTGTTCTATTTGCCTTTTCTTAGAAACCTATATACATTTGCTGAAACAAATTCAAGTACAAATAAACCCAAACAATGAACTTCTCCTATTTGCTTCCTTTTGGTATGCTAAATATACCATTGGAAGTGTTTTGTTAAATCTGTTTGACAAGTGCAAAAAAAATCTAAAGATTTTACCAGAAATCCTTCTGAGCTGATAGCTTCCTGTACTCTCTGTCTGTGCACAAGGAGGGCTTATCTAGATCAGCCTTTCTCAACCATGGTGCCCAGGCACCCTGGGGTGCCTTGAGGTTTCTTCAGGAGTTCCTTGGCAAAATGTCTAAAAATTGCCCAAAACTTGTATACAAGCCAGCGGGTACAAGTCTGACTTTTAGTTACACAAAGTCACAGGTTTTCATTGTGCACCATTACGACCTTCTAGCCGCTGGCGTCCTGACAACCAATGACATCATCAGTTGTTAAGGAGCATGTCAGCTGCCTGCACATCATCCTAGTCTGACCCTCCCCTTCCCCTCTCTGTCAGTGCTGGGGTCACATTAGCTCAGTGATGAATAGAAGAGAAACATTGGAATACTACTCAGTAACAGTGTGCAAAAGTGCTTTGGAAGAATAACTCACCTCTAATGTTGGGAGTCCTACAAGTGTGAATGTTACTGCTATTAGAATAGT